TAAGCGGGCCCTCCGAAAACGTGTTGCTGAACACTACTCGGTTTGGCTTACAAGAGGCGAGCAAAGGAAAACGACTTCATCCATATATGAACACCTTGTTGAATTGGGACACTCAGCACCTCGAGATTCATCCTTCAAAATAATTTACAAAGTTAAATTGAACTAATCCAAAGGTTTACGCTTCTACCACTTATGCACAGCTGAAGCATTAGCTATACATGAATAAAAATCGAAACTTTGCATTCAAAAACGTTTTGTGAAACCACTTTCTCTACCTTGGCCTTAACAATTCATTTTGTTGATTTTGTCAATTTCAGTTCACTTTACTTTGATATACTTCTCTTCTATTATCACCATTATCACCAATTTTCACTTCATTGACAACACTTGAACCATATTTCACTCTTTAATATCAATTCATTCCTTAATCATTGACCTACTTTACACTTTTCAGCTTAATTATCACTGTTTTACAATTCTTTGACAACACTTGTCGCTTATCTCACCACTTGTTATCAATTCGTTCCTCCTTATTCAGTGACCAATTTTCTATTTCTTCCACTTGAACAAATACCACCACCCCTCCACCAATTGTATATTTTGCATATTGACTGAACAAGGCTCTTTTTAGTGCAATTATCTGTCACTTAACTCAGTATAAATACGACTGCTGTACAGCTTGATAATGAAGTCGTTGAAAAGAAATATTTCTTAGCTGATATATGCCTTGTTCTTGTTAGTGAATAAATGGGTATATTTCGTCAGTTTATCTTTTGTCTGAGCAATAATTTTCGACCAACTAGAAAATGATAACCAGAGGTTAGCAGCTGAAGCATTAGCTATACATGAATAAAAATCGAAACTTTGCATTCAAAAACGTTTTGTGAAACCACTTTCTCTACCTTGGCCTTAACAATTCATTTTGTTGATTTTGTCAATTTCAGTTCACTTTACTTTGATATACTTCTCTTCTATTATCACCATTATCACCAATTTTCACTTCATTGACAACACTTGAACCATATTTCACTCTTTAATATCAATTCATTCCTTAATCATTGACCTACTTTACACTTTTCAGCTTAATTATCACTGTTTTACAATTCTTTGACAACACTTGTCGCTTATCTCACCACTTGTTATCAATTCGTTCCTCCTTATTCAGTGACCAATTTTCTATTTCTTCCACTTGAACAAATACCACCACCCCTCCACCAATTGTATATTTTGCATATTGACTGAACAAGGCTCTTTTTAGTGCAATTATCTGTCACTTAACTCAGTATAAATACGACTGCTGTACAGCTTGATAATGAAGTCGTTGAAAAGAAATATTTCTTAGCTGATATATGCCTTGTTCTTGTTAGTGAATAAATGGGTATATTTCGTCAGTTTATCTTTTGTCTGAGCAATAATTTCGACCAACTAGAAAATGATAACCAGAGGTTAGCAGCTGAAGCATTAGCTATACATGAATAAAAATCGAAACTTTGCATTCAAAAACGTTTTGTGAAACCACTTTCTCTACCTTGGCCTTAACAATTCATTTTGTTGATTTTGTCAATTTCAGTTCACTTTACTTTGATATACTTCTCTTCTATTATCACCATTATCACCAATTTTCACTTCATTGACAACACTTGAACCATATTTCACTCTTTAATATCAATTCATTCCTTAATCATTGACCTACTTTACACTTTTCAGCTTAATTATCACTGTTTTACAATTCTTTGACAACACTTGTCGCTTATCTCACCACTTGTTATCAATTCGTTCCTCCTTATTCAGTGACCAATTTTCTATTTCTTCCACTTGAACAAATACCACCACCCCTCCACCAATTGTATATTTTGCATATTGACTGAACAAGGCTCTTTTTAGTGCAATTATCTGTCACTTAACTCAGTATAAATACGACTGCTGTACAGCTTGATAATGAAGTCGTTGAAAAGAAATATTTCTTAGCTGATATATGCCTTGTTCTTGTTAGTGAATAAATGGGTATATTTCGTCAGTTTATCTTTTGTCTGAGCAATAATTTTCGACCAACTAGAAAATGATAACCAGAGGTTAGCAGCATAGAAAGTTATGATGGGTGTAGACAGCCTGTGGAGTAGGACTTCACCAGGTGCATGCCTTTTAATTTAGAGCTTCATGAATATTGATTCCTTTTGAACAGTCATTTGATCAGATATCCTATTCATTTTGTTCATGTGTCTCTTGATAAAAATATGGGGATAATTCATTTCTAACAGCATAATATAGATGTGTTCTGACTCCTTTTGTATCATATCATCGAACCAGATCCTAATGGCTTTGTTTACAAGAAATTTAATTAGACTTCCTCTATATCCAATTGGCATAAAGCTAAGGAAATATATGTACTGACCTGTAGATGTGATCTTTCTGTACACCCTTCTACTGAGTGAAAGTAAGAGAAGGATGGACGCGATTGAATTTTCTTAGCGATTCGTTTTTGTTGACATTTTGATCAAGGATGATGAAATTGTCGTCAATATAACATTTATACATATTCAGACTATCGATGAAATCTTTTAATGGTTCATTCTCAAATATAACACAAGAAAAAAAATCAGCCAATATTGGGTATAACAGTGAACCCATGGCAATTCCCATCAACTTGCATGTAATATGTATCATTAAAGAGAAAGAAAATGCACATTCATGGTGCATCGCACAGGTAATTGTTTAAAACTATCTTCTGGATGTCCAATATTAATTTGTATTTCTGAATTGAATTCTACTATTTTGAGAAGTGGTACATTGGTGAGTAAAGAAACAGTATCTAAAAATACCGTATGTTTCCTGTTCATATTCACCTTTTCCAAATTGAAGATGATGTCGAATAAATCCTTGACACTATTCTTAACAACTGATTGGTGTAGGCGTTGTATAACTCCAATAAGCCATTTCACGATTTTTATGATTAGCTATAATTTAATATGCATCTACTGAATAATATACAAGTTTACTTGCAGAGAAGGTTACAAGATCATGCAATGAGTTCTACTTTACGGAAGTACACTGCGGTTTGGTACTTGTAATTTCCTGTTCCTATACAAAGCCGAATTGAAGGCCTTTGACAGCGTCGACCGAGAGGTTATTTGGAAACTGCTTCATTACTACGGAGTACCGCAAACCTTTATCAGCCTCATTCAACAACTATATGAAGATGCCATATGCCAGCCAAGTAATTCACAATGGGAAGCTCAGTGATGCTTTTGAAGTGAAGTCAGGAGTGAAACAAGGTTGCCCACTATCCCCCATGATATTCCAGATTGTGGTCGACTGGACTGGATCATGCAGCAAACAGTGGGGAGCTGTGAGAAGAGGGGGATACACTGGCTGGACTGCGGAAAAGAGCCTAGAAGATCTGGATTTCGCCAACGATGACTTGTGTCTGATGTCACACAAACTTGAAGATCTACAGTCAAAAACTAACAAGTTGATAGAAGAGATGTGGCAACGAAGATGGGACTTCAAGTGAATATAGAGAAGACAGAAGTGATGAAGATACCGCACCACCACCAACAACAAACTCCAATCACCATCAATGGGAGTAACTTAAAGGGAGTAGCCTCCTTCACCTATCTAGGAAGCACTGTTTCAACTACAGGCGGTACAGACGAGGATGTCAAAGTCAGAATCGGAAAAGCAAGACAGGCGTTCATTAGCCTGAAACCAGTGTGGAGAACTGCTTCGCTGCACTCAGCATGTGAAACAAGATCCTGATTTTCAACACCAATCCAGTCAAGTCAGTGCTTCTGTATGGTTCAGAGACTTGGCACGTTACGAAGGGCATTTCCAACAAACTACATACATTCATCAACAACTGCTTACGCTGCGTCGCTACTGAAGATCAGATGGCCAGAATAATAAGAATAAGCAACAAGCAACTCTGGATAGTGACGAACTAACCAAGAACCTATCACTCAACAAATATGCACTGGAAGAAAGTGGAGATGGATTGGAGTGGGCATACACTGAGAAGGTCGACTGGGGACATCACGCGTCAGACCAGATACTCGAGTGGAACCCAGATGGGAAGGGACGAGTTGGGCGTCGGTGGCGAGGGTGACATGAAGGAGATCGTAAGAGGAGGAAATGAGAGGTTGTAGGCAGTCGTGTAGGCAGGTTGAAAAGTTTGCAGATGAGAGAGTGGAATGGAGGTGTACTACTGAAGGCCAATGTTCCAATAGGAACCCAAGGGATAAATAATAATAATAATTTCTTGAAAGCTTCTTGCTTCTACCCATGCTTATTTCTATTACACGTCTTCCTTCAAGTTCTTTTTATAATATTAATCTTCTTGATTTTTATCCTCCAATTATTGTTTCCTAGTTATCGCAATCAGTAGTAATACTTTAATTCTATCAGAGTATAATCGTGGCAGATTTCAACGTTGTCATGATTATGTTAACCAACTTATTTCATAGTTTTAAATACATGACAGGTTTACTGTAAAAAAAATTTATCCGCTCAGCCACTGCATCGGAGTTAGTGGTCCACAGTTTTTCTTACTTGTATCAATTCATGGTATAGCGTGACTATCCGCCAAGGTTTTCAGTCCTATAGTTCTCATTAGTGACATGTTTTGAGATGGATAACCTAAAATTCTGATGAAAAGCTGTCATCAGTGGGGTCAGGCGAATGCTGACTGAATATCTTGGTGGATAGTCACGCTATATCACGAATTGATACAATTAGGAAATTGTGAACCATCGAACTCCTCCCTAACGGCTCTGAGTTCAATCCCTAGCAGGACCGTGGACGCATACTACTGAGGAGTCCCATATCGGGACGGAACAACTGTCCAGTATTCTCAGGTTTTTAATGACTTTCGAAATGATGAATACAATCTTGGAAAACAGAATCCCTATAAGTCTCAAACTACTTTTCTATGTTACTCTATTACTTCAAGGGGGTATAGTGTTCATTCTTATATTTGGTTTCTTTGTTGTATTTTTTCATTTCAGAATTGGAAGATTTCAAAGTTCGTCGAATAAAATACTTTCATAAGAATTTACTTGATCTTGCCGAACTGGAAGTGAAACATGCGAAAGTGAGTTGATCACACCATTGTTCATTTCTTCCCATCTTTTCTTAACTGTCATTTCACTCATTTTTGATTGCTTTATTCTACTAGTAATCTACATCATAGTAAATGTTGTAGACAATAATTCTTAAGGTTTATCTTGTGAACTGATCCTATCTGGTAAGCGATTAATGATGACTGTAACTGTAACAGCTTATATGGTTTTCAATGGATGTTTTTCCGGACTATTTATATTATTATTTGTCCTTTGGGTTCCTAATGGAACATAGGGCTTCAGTAGCACACCTCCATTCCACTCTCTTATATGAAATCTTTTGAATCTGGCTATACGACAGCCCACAACCTCTCATTTCCTCCTCTTACGATCTCCTTCATGTCACCCTCGCCACCGACGCCCAACTCGTCCCTTCCCATCTGGGTTCCACTCGAGTATCTGGTCTGACGCGTGATGTCCCCAGTCGACCTTCTCAGTGTATGCCCACTCCAATCCATCTCCACTTTCTTCTGCTGCATATTTGTTGGGTGATAGGTTCTTGGTTAGTTCGTCACTATCCAGAGTTGCTTGTTGCTTATTCTTATTATTCTGGCCATCTGATCTTCAGTAGCGACGCAGCGTAAGCAGTTGTTGATGAATGTATGTAGTTTGTTGGAAATGCCTTTCGTAAGGCGCCAAGTCTCTGAATCATATAGGGGCACTGACTTGACTGGATTGGTGTTGAAAATCTGGATGTTGTTCCATCGAAACAGCCAGTCTGTTCCGGTTGTAGTTTTGAATGTAGTGCATCGTTTAGCCTCTCGAGGATATGGCCTAATATTTTGGTGTGGGTGTATAGGAGTGTGATTCTGTGCCAGTTCTTGCAAAGACTTGAGTCGCCCTTCCTCGTGAGTTTGACAAGGTAGCCCTCCTTCCAATCAATGGGCAGGTACCTTTACTTCCTTCTAGACGTTCTGCAGCAGTGGTGTGAGTATGTCTGCTGTTTTCTCTGCATCTGCTCTCAGTGCTTCTGGTGGGATTGTATGTGGTCCTACTGCCTTCTTGCACTTCAGTAGTTTTATGGTGCTCATTACTTCTACTTTTGTTTGAGGATTTGTGTTCACTTGTAGTTCTGTGACTGAGCTGCATGTGGTGGTTTTCCGGACTATACAGAATGTTTTTTCAGTGAAATTTGGATATGAAAATATTATAGTAGTCAGAGTACAAGATGAATTCACTCTGTCCTTAAATAGTTTATAGTATTGACAAGGCTGACAGGTGACAGGTTGTTTGGTGAAGATAGAATCTAAATAAATAAGGATATTGTATGTGAGTTGGTTTGAAGCAGTTGGCAGAAAGCCCTGGACTTAGGTTTCACGCTCTTTGGCTCTCGTCGGCAAGGTGTATCTGCAACCTCGACAAAACTGATGTCCCACCTAGGATTCGAATCCGCGCCACCCTGTGTTGTAATCAGCGATGCGTGTTCGAATCCCAGGCGGTTTTGCTGGGATCGTAGATACGCTTTGCTGACGAGTTCCAAAATGCACGAAACCTGGGTGCATAGCCTTCTACCGACCGCTCTCAACCAACTGACATATAATATCTTTATTTATTTAGTCTCCGTCTTTCACCTAACAGGACAATATCGTTTACATACTCTGGTTGATTTGCAGTATGGAGAAATTATTGTCGTGATAAATGAAGACGCTAGCAAAATGCAGAATTTAGTAAACGTTCCGAGAGGAAATCCGAGAATATTTGGCATACGTTTCCCTGGCACCTGTCAAATGTAAGATAATGCTCCTCAACTGGTCTGCTCCAGGTACTCCCAGTTTAGTGATAGGGAGTGAAGGGGTTGACTATTTCAGCCGCAGAACCTGAAGGTCCTTGATTCATGAATGTGCACTGTTAAAGAGTCTTATACTGGGGCAAAACAGTGCTCCCAGGTTCTCAATGGCTTTGCAACTGATGTCAGTCCATGATGAATTCCGAATTGCTAATTTAAATTTGTTTATCGAAGATCATCGCAGCTTCTCCTTCTCACTAACATGCTAACAAAATCCTTATATCTTGCTATTATTATTGTTATTACCATAACTATTACCAATTAACACGGTACCATCGTGTGCTGTGTCTAATAGACGGATCTAATATGGAACGTATGGTAAATAGCCTGATTGATACATTCAAGGGAGAAGATAGGAAGAAATTCGGACAGACAAAGTTAATGTGGAACCTCACACAAAAGTGCGTTGGTTCAACTTGCCACACTTCACAGTAGTATACAAAGAACAGATGGATTGAAAATGAGTGGTATCAAGGTAGACAAAGATGTGTGATAGAATAAATAATATGAAGATGATGGTTAGTGCAAGTATTCAAGCTTTAGACGATGTTAAGGAGTGAATACATCTACGCCATTGTGACCGATTTTCAGTCATGTCACCGGGTGTTCTTAACCACTGATTCCTTCCGTCTCGGAAATCCCAGTCAGGCAGTCTACATCTTCCTACACGACTCAAACTAGTAGTCAGGGACTTCATCGACTGGTACCAGATATTGATCTGACCAACCTGATCCCAACTTAGTCCAACTTCCCCTTAGCAATGCACGTCTAGGTAGGCTGTAACTCGGAATTCACAGCGTATGTCTAAGCTATCCTAGTCGTGATTAAAGTTTACAGCCTCATCAATCGAGTTACTTGTTATTTCTGGTACCCTTGGTCCGATCTCAACATTATTCACACGGTGATTCCACCACACCTCAACAATTCTATAAAGATATGTATGATCAGAAACCTGTAATCCCTGGTAATGTGAGTATTCATAAGTATGGATAGAGGAGGTCAAAGTATGTCGGATATCTTTAACAGCCTATAGAAATTTGTTGAATCATGTAGAATTCGCTGCATTTCCTGTCAACTACAAACCAATAGGATGGCAGAAAGTCTCTAACATGAAAATTTTTTCATAAACTGCGTATTGCATTTACACATTTTTGGATAAATTTTTATTTTGAGGGAGTTGTGGAGATTTGGAAATATTTCAAGTTGTTATTCATCGTAGACTGACATCAGTTGGAGGAACAAAAGAAACCTGGGAGCACTGGACAGCTGTTTCGTCACACTAGTATGGGACTCCTCAGCAGTGCGCACCCACAGCTGTCCAGTGCTCCCAGGTTTCCTTTGTTCCTCCAACTGATGTCAGTCTACGATGAATAACAACTTGAAATATTTCCAAATCTCCACAACTCCCTCAAAATTTAATTGAACTGGTGCTTATTAGTGACTAGCTTCGAGAAGTATTCTCGAAGTTCCAACGAGAAGTCGTGACCGGTGGAGTCAAAGCCTGACGGCCGTGAGGACAGATACTCAACGATGACATTGGGTGGCGGTTTGTGCTATATTGTGAGCTAACAGAAGTTGGAAATATGGAGCATTGGATTCTGACCCAGTGGCTCAATGGTAAGGCGCTGGCCAAGGAACCTGAAGGTCGCGGGTTTGATCCCTGCTGGTGTGGGGTCGTGGGTGCGCACTGCTGAGTAGTCCCATACTAGTGTGACTAAACAGCTGTCCAGTGCTCCTAGGTTTCCTTTGTTCCTCCAACTGATGTCAGTCTACGGTGAATAACAACTTGAAATTTTTATTTACCGACTCAAAGTTATACACTTCCTCTTCTAATCATGTGTACTTGTGTGTTTAAAAAATAAATAAATAAATAAACCTTTATTTGTTACTACTAAATAACTTAATAGATGTGTTGTTGAACACCCACCTTCATGATTAAGGAAAGGAGAAATGGAATCCATAAGAAGTTTTATTTTCTCTCATCTTGTTGATAGTGATCACTTGGTAGATAAGAGAAATCCCTTGAAAATTATCTATCATGTATCACCTGATCTTTTGAAAGATATTTGTACTCATCTTTTATGCATAGCAGAAACTGTAGGGGAGTTCAAGCTACTAATCCTAGTCATTGTATCCAGAAGAAGTTTTTTCATCCCATATCTCTTATTTGACGGGGGGAATACTTAGGGAAACTTTATTATTAAAGTTTTTCCTATCTCTTTCTTATTCTTCACTCCTTCTATATGCTTATTATGGTTGCTTAGACTTTGTCTATTGACCTACTTTGTTCTTCAGTATTGCGTAACTTTTGTTTCCCTGAGCTTTTCACTCACTTTGATTGTCATAGGGAAACTTGAGCAATGTGGTAGAGTATAATTCCATATTAAATTGTTTATTTGATATACAGTACACAGTACGATTTACTGGATGATGTTCTGAGCAGAATTTATTACTAACACGCATATCAAAGTAATGATATGTATTTGAAACCTCTTTTATGTAGTCCAACTGTTCTTCATTCTTTTATCTCAAGAGTAATACAATTTTACAGATATCTGCAATATGTAATGAATCATTCCTGATTGATTGAATGAATAAAGATTTTGTGATCAATCTCTCCCTCCAGGTAGGTAGGATTGGATTATAGAATTGTCACCCTATCCCATCCACCTTAAAGTGTGATTATGAATCAGTGGATGCAGACCGATAGCCGAGTTTTTCACCAAATTACTTAGAACAGTCTACTATTGTATGTTTTGCTAGATTTTTCTCTTATACTATCCTGACTGACCCAAGTCACAACTGCACTCACTTATATACTTGACCTTCTTTATATGGCAAAACTGCAGATGATTTGAATCCCCTCTTAGGTATGTTGTAATGACCACTAACATTACTATTCTTCTTCCTATCGATCCTTGTAATAAATTCTAGAGGATAATTGTTAAGAGATAGTGGATCTTGGATATGCTTCACTTCCTTATTCAGATTTACTGACTTACTAGTCAAACTCCTAGCCCGATTACTGAAACATTTTACCAAGCCTACATTGAAAGACGTAATACGATGAGGTGATGTGAAATCCAAGTATTTTTTAGAATGTGTCGGTTTCCTATGAACACTGATATCTAAGTTTACATGTTCCCTCCTGTTTATTTTACAATCAAACATTGGTAATTCTCCTTCTTCATTTTTCAATTCATTTATCCTGTTTTCTCGATTCTTATCATCATCATCATCAATCATCATCATCATCATTGTTATTGTTATTATTACTGTTATTATTATCATTACTATTATTATTACTATTATTATTATTATTATTATTATTATTAAAGTAAAGCCTGTTGAGGATCCAATTGGAAACAGTACTGTTCGCCTATATCTATCTTGTTCTAATTTACATGATGTTCATTCGATAACCTGACGACTGATTATTGAAGGGATCAACTGATCATATTAATCCCGAGGTTGGTATTTCTTAGACGCATATCTACTACAAAGAATTACTCACTCCATTTGTAGTCAGATACCATTGGGGTTAAGTGCTACCTCTTTTATCAATTTTGTGCAATTGAGTTATTGTAATATTTATACTTTGATTTTCTTCTTTTTTTCTTTTTGTTTTGATGATTTCAGTCACAAGTGGAAGTAATTAAATCAACATTGATACGTCTAAAGTCAATAACTCCTCCTATCATAAAATCTCCTAACCTACAATCAATGATTCATTTACACAATAGTAATATTTCAACAAATAATAATAATAATAATAATAGTACACATTCAAGTTCTTCATCAGAGTCGAAATTTAATGCAATCGACTGAATTATAATGAAATAGTTTTGGGATTCTATTGGATCAAGAATTTATGAAAATGATCACCAATGTCTGTCATCTTCTTTTCTATATGGGTTCTAGCCATCAATATGAAGTTTATATATATATACGTATTCTATATGGCCTTAATTGATTTCTCTTTTGATTTGGTTCTCATATTTGGACTATATTATACTTTTTATACCATCTATCCTAATTATTCCTAACCAACTAGGCCTTACTTAGCCAATTATACAAGAAGAAGAGGAAGATTGTTATGTTTACTATTTGGTTTCTTAATTATATTATTATACACTTGATTGTATGATTTAATTTATACTGATAAATTGACTTTTGAATTATGATGAGTTCGAGCGCCGCTAACAGGAGAAAATGTTTGAAAGGAATTTGAAATTGTTTATGTTGTGATTGTATTTTTGTTTTTCTGCTTCTTTTTAACATTACTACTACTACTACACATTACTAATTTGGTCGGTTGTATTCCCCGATGAAAGAAGTTAACGAAAACATCTTGTCATTATACTGTGATCAAACACAATGACTATACAAGGATAGGATCTGATTGGTTATTTTGTGTCTTCATACTTTTCTTTAGCTTTGTTTTCTTTTTAACCCCTAATTTCTACCTGGTGTCATTGTTTACACTAACCCTATGAAGTATTTTGTACTTCTCTATAGGTGAAGGGTATGTAATGGTGTGTACATTGATTTATTAACCTACATGAAATAAATTATTTTATGTATTTTCGTATTTTATCAACATTTTTTTTATTGATTAATTAATTCATAGCACTAGGCTAGAAACTGCCAGTGGTTTCTGGTTCGAACCCTGTTGTATCCAAAAAAAGGTTCATTTCACTTTCAATCATTATCACTCAGTAACACTACTAGTCTACTAAACTATGATTATCTCAGATAGTTAAAATGAAAATCTATAACTTTCATTGTGACATCAAAAATAAGCTATTCAGGTAGGAGGATTTTTTTCCCTCATCGAATTTATTCTCAAGTTGTACATTCATATATGTATACATAATATTTAAAGACTGTACACCATGAGGAAAACTAATTGGAGATTGAAATAACAATAATGGTGGTTATAATTATAATAATGTTGCTAGTTGGTGATGTGTAAAGGTTGGATAATAGCAAAAAGGGGTTACGTAAGACTTACAAAGGGGGTGAAAACATAGTAAAGTTAATGAATAAGCAATCAATGGATTAGGTAATATGAATAAGTTAGTTAGGATAATAAATTTTTACAAATGATATTTCTCACAACTGTGCTGTCAACAAGGTCTCCGCTAGAAACCACTCAGCCAAGGTATGATCTCCAAATAGCGGAATATACTACTACTGAATAATTTGAGTAGTTAGAAACCACTCATAGTGACCTGTCAGCGTGATCCATGCACGTTGATCATCCTATTTTATGTATACAAGTTCATCAAATTCAGCTAGCCAGATTTAGATGATATGAATTTATTCGGCTGTATAAGCTGCATTTCTCCGGGTACATAGCTGATAAGATCGGTTCCAAACTAGCGAAACATCTGTCCGGTGTTTAGATCACTCTGATCTGGTTTGAGAACTAATATAGATCAGCCTGAGGGATTCGTAACTGCTGAAGGTAAGAGTACTGATAATAACGATATGAGTACAAAGATTAACCTAACAAAGTGGGATTTTTAAAAGAAAACGAAGACGAAATTACGGTTAAGGTAGAGACAAAGGGTACAGGTACTTTTGTACACAAACGTCAGGCTTCTGTTATTTTAAACAGCTGAGGATGGAGAAAACGTGCTATTGTTGAGTGAATTCGATAAGAAACCTTAAACTCATTGTTCGCGTCTGTTGAAAGGTTGAAATCGATTAAATATTGAAGGATATAGTTTCTAATGTATTGCCTTGCACCCTTATGAAACCAGACTGGGAAATATTTTCCTGTATGTGTCGACAGAAATCTTTGACCGCGACTAATATACCTGGCTCCGCAGGATAAGGTGAACTGGTAAACACATATGGAGGTGACCTATCGTGGGATATTGTCTTTTACACGTGCAGAAAACAATTTACAACTAGTAAAGATTAAATAAAGTTTTATTGCGGAAAAGATCCTACCAAATGATCTAGAAAGACGACTTTTCAGGATGTTTGGTACTATATCATCTTTATATCCCATACTCATGAACAAAGTCTTTTACGAAACTGAGTTGATGACTGATTTTGTATATCTTTCTCACACATTCTCAACAAATCGCTTAAGAGATAACCGTTTTCCGCTAGCGCACCTCTTAAAAATTCAGGATTGACTTCTACACAGTCTGTGTTACAGATATTTCGTATTCGATAGCAGAGTGAGTGAACGAGGTTTTTTTTTCTCATGATCAACACCCAGCTGTAGAAATTGGTAATCTATTCGTCCGATGTACGTTTTTCTTCAAATGATCTTACTGTTTCATTGCTATGTCTCATGAATAGCTGATTCTAATCCCATCTCTATAGGAAATTCTCATATTGAGTAACAATTGTTGAACACGTGTAGGACGTTATTCAGGTCGATTTTTGAGTCACAAATAACGAATATATATATATATATATATATATATATATATATATATATCAAGGACTGTCAGGCAGTTTGTTGGGATTATTATTTTCGTATTATATGGATCGGTATAACAAACAGTTTTTGAGGTGACATCTCAGGAAAACCTAAATTTACTAGTGATGCCAATATCCTTAGTATTATTAGTAAGCTGAAATGTATTACAAATAAAATAATGGGACACTTTTTTTATGACTGGTTCCAGTATTTCAATTATTCACTAGGCGATCCAAGTTGATGAAAAGAAACTGATGTATCCAAAATCAGGCGAAAACGTAATCCTGCTTTATGTATTTTCGACAATCTCTACAGACATAATTTTTCTCATAGATTCCAATCTTTACATATCATGTATATACATACGAATGTACAGCCTGAGAACAAATTCGTTAACAAGAGTCCTTTCCTCTGGATATATTGTTTTTGATTTACTAATTAAGTGAATGAAAAAGGATAGCTTCATTTTGAAGGTTTACTTGTATTGTGGGTTGACTATCTGTTGAAAAATCAGTTATGATTTACTTTATTGTGAAGATTTCCAGTAGTATGTGAACACTTAATTCTTTAATTGGAGTTGAAGGTGGTGAATTCAAATTGTATTTGAATTATGTCTAATTATAAACTACTGACTGTTAGCTAACTAAAGTTAGCTCAAAGTATTACTGGAAAAAACTGACCGATATACGTCTACGTCGAAAGATAAGCTATGCGTATACTATGATGTTCTTCAAAGTCATTTCCTTTAAAAATCTATCCACATTAGAATCTGTCTGAACGCTTTCATCCAGATAGCAGAAGTATTGTTGAAAATCGTATTCTAGACTTTCAATCATAAATTTTAGATAAGCATAATGATTGATATCCAGCAACTGAGCCACATTTAAGTTAGCATATAAAAATTCGTTGTTAAGAAATTTTTGCCATACATTATTTTCTTTTTTCTTATTAGTTTACCACACCAGAAGGGTTTGTTGGATAGCGGTGACAAAAAAGGAGTCACTGGCATGATTTAAATTACTACAATATGCTGAAGGTGAAGTCGTACTGCTGACTTGATGGGTTGTGACAATAGTGTATGAAACTATACTGATTATAGCCTACCCTTTTACCTTTGGCTTCGCCTTTGCCTTCACTTTCTGGTACTGGTATTAAACCTTTTACCATTGCCTCAACCTCTCACCGTGCGACTAATGCTAACAATCTCTATACTAGCTAGGCAACATTCCTGGGCTCATAAAACTTCGCAACTAAATTAACTTTGGAGCTTTCAACATCTAGTCTCTATACCAAATTGGACAACAAACATCTGTTTCCCAAACTCCAAAATCATGAGCTATGGATGCATACAGTGTTCCTGAGACACCTAAATGCAGTTATTCACTTGACCAATACAGTAAATCCGCTAAACTGACTTTGGAAGTGTTGGATGATCCCAGTGATAACTCTCATGGACTCCTTTCTGTTGGTTTGGAACTAAATTTCTAAGCAGTAACTCACTTCTCGACTGTATACCGGTCAACAACTGTCTATGTGTTGTCCGACTGAATGGATCTGTAAGAAAAAGAAAGGATCTTGAAATTCGCTGGTGCCTATTTGTAATTTTCGCCTACTCTATCCCCACTGACTTTTTTCGCAAAATAAAACAAAACGTTAAGGTATAGTCATAATAGCAGATAACTTCATCGCTCAAGTAGGGAATCTGAGTCAGTTGGAAGGGCATGTTGAAAATATCTACAATGTCTCATACCAACGAAGCGCCAACGGTGATCATCTTTTGGAGTTTTGTCCTGATAACCCTTTGTTTCTGCCCAGCACTAAATTTTGAAGAGACGCTATCTGACATGTCACTCGTCGACATCAAATCACTGATGGACACAGATAGACCATAATGCTGTAAGTCACCAATGGATAGGGTAACCGCTCTTTCTGGAGTGCTTGTCTGGACTTCAACTACGTATCAGTACGGGTATGTCGGTCACAGAAAATAAATAGCAGTGAAACCTGTCTGTGCTCAACTGGAAGATGGTGACGTTGAATGTATTTAGAGCGAAAGCAAATTAAACGTAAATTTAGTAAGAGTTTTTGCAATGATAGCGAGAAGTGACGAAAGAGATGAAAAAGGCATCAGTACTATGTAATACTCGGTTATTATTTAGGCTTCATAAGGATGCTGATCGGTTGAAGATGATAGTGTGTGAGGCCATTGGTGAATAATACCGAACCGGGATAGCCTCTCAGAACAAATGGCCAAATAGTTGTGTAGAACACTTTAAAGAACAATTCAACTGACATGCAGAAAAGCTTCAATTTATGTTAACGCTAATAGAAACTGTAAGTGACATTTAAAATTACAACTTTTTCAGGAATGATCTAACACTAT